GGGGTCATCTCCAACACCCTCAATTGCATCAGTATGTCGCGATGTAAGATTGGAACTCTATTTAAGGCACTGGTGCCCCGCGATCTCTACACACTTTGGACTTTGAAGTTTTGGACAAATTAAGTCTTTAGTCGTAAATACATTGCACGCTTGATACAGCAAATCGCCGTTCACTTTGCACAAAGAATGCTTTGACTCGAAGAGTCCGGGTTAATTAACGAGTAGCAGCCGTGTTCGTCGACACACAGGATTGGTAAAGAAGACCTTAAGGTAACCAAGAGGTTGCCACGTACCCTCCCTAATCGAAGTTTTTTCTTCTTCTTTGCACTTAAAAATGTACACAATTACACCATACTACGATGTGGATATCGTTCGATTGTACTTAATGTGTTGGGATGAACAATACAAAACCAGGCTTCTTATCCATGAAATTCTCTCCTCTACGATGTGCATCACCTTAAGGCTCAACTTGCTCACTCTTTGATATACTGCACAAATTGACCATCCACAACAAACCTTTGCACTAGGAGTCTAACTCCACCATTTGCGCTTCACCATGCCTGCTCCTTCGATCACACTCGTATCAGAACCCCCTCCGATGCGGCAAATTTTTTTAACGAGCCATCAGAAAAGATGCAGCTCTCACTATCAACGTGCTTCAGGACATTCTTGGCAGAGATACTGTGGGGTTATGTTGGACGAGAGCAATCATAATGAATCTCCGAGTCTCAACCAAGCATCTCCTCCCTCGCCAGGCGGCAATCGGCCAGAGAAAAAAGCCCTTTTAGCCCCCGCTGCACCGGTTAAAAACTAAGAGCCCTTTTTCAACGGTGCGAAATGTTGCAACACCCGCGTGGAACTCACGACGATACCCACGAAGCTTGATGTAATGGGCCAGGTCTCATTACACATCTTGTTTGGGCCACACACTTTGTATGTCTGGGTTCTTATCAGATTATGGAGGTCAAAAGCCTATTGGTTATAATGTCAAATGTCACTTCACCTTTCCTCTTTAAAATCTCAACGACCCGCGGGAAGTGAGCAACACACGGTGAGGAGTGTAAGTTGATTTAAGCCTCCCTCAGAAAAGTATGTGCATACGGACGGGTAACTCTCGCTACACTGGACCTGCCCTGTATGCTCTGCACGAAGCGCAAAAGTCATGCCGATGTTTGTCCAAATGACCAATCCGTGATTGCACTTTTAAGGTGTCTGAAATCACTCGCCGCTCTGGCGCTGATTTCTCAGACGCTAATGTATTTGGGCTTTCCGTTCGCAACAAGAGCAAATCGAGTGCACGAAAGGTGCTTTGCGTACGCATTCTCCTCCCACAGGTTTATCTGGAGTACTTACTGTGCAAAGAGCAGCAGCGGTCGGAAAACGCGATTTTCGGTAATTGAGCAATTTAAGCTGGCGAGAGTGCCGACGAAAGTCAAACTCATTTCGTGCATTATGTGAGGATAACAGGCAGTAACACAACAACACACTTTACAAGACAGCTTCAGCAAAGCACACATCCATCAAGAGCTTCAGCTTACGGGTGACTTTGCGAATACAAAGCACGACACGGACATCGAGACGATTATTCAGATCTCCGCTCGTCTCTCATTAACGTATATAACAGCTATCGACCAAGGGGTTGCTCAACGAAATGTTGGTCTACCCATTAGTAGAAAGTGCGTGGCGACAGGCGGCCCTGTCTTCTCCCCGAGATACATTTGGTCGGAGGGTGCGCCATATCGTAAGCGGCCACTGCACCGGGGGATATTGCCAACTCAAGACCTCAAGTTATTAATACTTTACGATCAAAAATTACCACTCCACATAATCAAAAAGCGGTAATAGCCTGAGTGTATCCGCCATTTCACCAAATGTTTTCTTAAGAGGTGGTTTAACCCTTACTCACGGAGCTGTTCCGGCGAGGGAATTCTACCGCGATTGGCTTACATGAGCTCTCTCAGTTATGACAGCATGCGCCTCTCTTCTAGCGTGCGTCCAAACTAAGATGATTCATCACCTAAGCTTCAACGTCGCATCACCTGGCTCGAGTACCTTCAGTCGCGTAAAACCACGTCGCTACTCTGAAACAGAAATTAGCTCCGCTACAAGGGACTGCTTAGTCACCTTCACACAGCACGCTCTACATTGTGGGGTCATGATATGGATTTACAACGCCCTCTTTCGCATCTTGAAATAATAACCTCCTCATGAACGGTCCGTGCAGCGCGGTCGCAACTTAGCAAAATGTTATTATATAGACTGTAGAAAAAATATTGCATGTGTCGGTAGGTGATACATAGCCCCCTCAGGCAGAACTTCGGCAGCTGACAACACGACCTCTATACGCATATGTTTCATCGATCTTCATGTCTGTGACAGTGAGCTTACTCGCACATGTCGGCGCCTCAACCCATTGTCGCCGTCTTCGAGAGCGGAAAAAATGCATTTTTGCCTCAGTGTTTTCGCTGAATCTGAGGTCAGCGATATGCTTTTGCTTTTCTGTCACTCAATCATGACGTCGCACGACGCTCAATCTCATCAAGAATATAAAATGGCTCTGCTGAAAAGTGATATTTAGCTTCAAATTTAGTTGACAGTCCCTCCCCACCTAGATCGAAGCCGTTTCGTGGCGGCGTTAACGGCGCCCGGATATTTTTAAACTATTTATGTAACTGGGGTAAAGCTGCTGCAGCTTGTGCTATTATTCAGCGCAAACTCGTTTTGTGAGAACAGCTCACTCAGGCACCAAAGTCTAAACGCGCAAGTGCTTTGGCTAATATCCACCACAACCAAATTAGCGTGTTCCTGTGGCCATTTGCATTCGTACAGCCGCGTCAAAGGAGGACTGAATGTTGCTAGTGCATCAGAAAATATAAGTTTTCTTTATCGGATGTAAAAATTGGTGACCATGGCGAAGCTCTGCACAGGATACATTTACCGCACTAGAATACAGCACATCTATTCTTAGAATCGGTTTTTTCGCTGGATTCGTAGCTGCAAGAGTTATTTCTGTGGATTCTCCATATTCATAAGGTTCATGCTGATAAAGCTTACCACTGATTAACTGAATAGGTGTATAATTGTGCCGTGATCCCATAAATTTGATGTAAGAAGATAAATTTGTCATTGTTGTCAAGTACTTTAGTCTTGAAATAACAAAATTCTGATTTCCTCAAACAAGATTTTTTTTACTAACCATATCACAATGCGACAGTACTGCCGCGTCCCACTGCAAACCAATTCAGCATCCCAGCTTTGTGGTAAATAGCTACATACTGGAGTAAACGGCGTAACTGGGGTACTACAACATGATAGCCTCCAATATCTACCCCATGTAAAGCCCTTGGGCAGCTTGTATATGAATTCGAACGTTATATATATGAAAAGAATCGCAGGATGATGGAATTACCGAGCTTATGCTGATAGTTTCGGAAGGGATGTTGATGTCATTTTATGCCATTGAAAATCTGTTAATGCAGACTTTAATGGAGCTGCAATTTTTTCATCCTCAGGGACTATACGGATCCTATTATGCCGTGCTGTAAGAATATGACCACATAAAAACAAGACATCTGCGACGGCATTTGCCTCCGAGTTCTCCTTTGCTCAGAGTATCTGTCATGAGATTGGCCATATTCCTGGGACAAAATAATACTTAATACACCGGTAAAGCGCAAATACGGTGAATTAGCTTTTTTGTGTGTAAAGCATGAATGAGCTACAATGAAAAGGCTTTGAAACCCACTTGAATTGTCAGTGTTCACTTTATCAGCTGCTTGATTGAATGCCTCGTATGTGCTGTGTGGCGCAACAACGGCATATCACCGCTTTATCCCTTACATATATTGTTCACCGAATAAATATTTCAATACATTATAGTCACACAAAATTAAAAATATCCTATCATTTAAAATAGGTGCGATTAAATTTTTGTAAAATTCGAGTGCTACCATCGTTACAAAGTGAGAGACAATCTTATTAAAGTAAATATTGCGACTAATTTATTAATCGCAATATTTTATCTCATCAGATTTACCAAATTAATGACAATCTTGAGATTCCTATTGTTGCTGGCTGCCCATCAAATCCCTCCGCAGTGTGATCTACTAAGCTTTTCATAGTCATCTATACTGCTATTCATGTGTCGACGGAATCATGTTCAAGTGTTCGAATGGTTGAATCTTAAACATTTTTTGACAGGAGTGAAATGTCAGCAACATTTTTAGTTAAAAACGAAGTGGTCACAATAACTCACAAATATTGAAAAAGTTCAGATAGCAATGGTATTCATATAAATCAACTTCATAATCTGGCATTACTGTTTATTGCATTTTTATTAAGCTTGGCATATCCATGGATACGAGTAGCATCGTTCAAGGATTAGCGAATATTATACGTTTGCTGTCACGACTGCGTGTGGACAATAGCCTTATTTGAATTGATATATTTCGTAGAAATGCAAACGAGAGATTACACCTAAAATCCCAGCAGATCAGACATAGTTTCAGATGAAAGTATTGATCAGCTAGTCTTGTGCTCATTCAAACCACACTATATTGATAGATTGAAGTCAGGCAGAAGGTATCAACAGAACAGCGACATCAGTAACGAACGCCGAGTGGGTGCTGGTGGTTTTTGGCTGAGTAATTCTTCATTCTTCAATCATTAATAAATACATTCCTTGTCTCAATGATGGTCAGTGTAACTATGACAAAGAATACGGCTCACAAAAGGAGAAGAGACCAGAACGGAACTCACTCCGTTCACCAAGTAGAGAATAAACTATCATCATCCCATCAGGCACGACACTACCAGGTTACTTGCAAAATCGAAAATGGACTGTGTGGCTGACAACGCATCCTCAAGCTGGTGTCAGGTACCCAAAATATATTGTCGTCAATTATTGACATACAAGTACCAAGTCTAAGTGAATACCGGTAGAGTACAGTATGTAATTTGGCACTTTTCACCAATCATGCTTGACACTCATCGAATGTGTCATGGCTGAAGATCGGCTTCACGAATTGGATGTCAACGTGTCTGTCGAGACCAATCTAAGCACCAAAGACCGCAAGAAATATGAACAATATCAAAATATAGCGCTATGCGAAAAAACACGCCTGATTGCGATTGCAAATGGCCGTTTCGTCGATTTGTACAGGATCGATACCAACGCGATCCATCCCTTTCCATTCCTCCAACAAATTTCGATCTCTACGTATATTAATCACGTCTGTGCTTCGATATTCACCAACTTGAATGATACAGATCCAAAACTCGTGAAAGCGACTTGTGTTGCTTTTCCCGTTCCGAGTTTTCTTTTAGTTGGAATCTCCGTTCGAGTTCCAGAATCTGAAATGTCGAAGTGTGAAATTGTAGAAACTAAGACTTTAGTGCTCGGATTACGATTGTATGCAACTTCAGTGACACCATTTCCGTGTGGCAAGTTTGTTGATAAGTCTCAATATCATGAACCTTCTGTTCAAGTGTCGTTCAGCTTTGTAGAAAATGTTTTGGGGACATTTGACAAGGAGATTCAGCATTTCTGCAATTTTCGACGTGATATGACACCTGATGCTGGTTCTGTATTGATTCTTTTGGAGGATTCAAATCAATTTGGAGTTCTGAGCTGGAAAGAACGATTTAGTGATCGACAAGTTTGCATGGCACAAGTCAAGCAGCAAGCTGAAAATTTGATAAGTGCTGAATGCGATCATAACGGTCAATATGTTGTGCTTGGAGGCGAACGTGGACGACTTTTTCTAATGAGTTTCAGACACTTTATGCTTCATGAAAGTGACGTGGTTCTTACCCATAAACAAAACGCGGGTCAGCGACTGGTCCTTGGGCCGTGTTCCCGCTCCGGGGTGATTGTACGAGATAATCCTTTGGAACTAGTCCGGATGGTTCGTACTTTATCATTGACCGGAGTGAACTGTGCAAGTACAAGCCTTCGATGGTGGAGCTTGGAAATTCGAGGTCAACATAAGCAGCTTCTTCTTGCTGGTCAGCAAGACGGATCATTACGTGTACGTGCTTGGGTAGCTTTATTTCGAGCTAGTAGTACTCTGACAGATATTTTTCAATTGACAGATCTTGGAGCTCATTCATGAAGATGAAGAGTTTCAATGCATTCTTGACATGCGATGCATTCGGGTACGTCGCAATGGGCGGCTATATAATTCCTCGCTTTTAACTTTGCTATTGCTTGCATAGATATATCCAGGCTTATCGTCAGGCACGCATGATGCTGTTCGAAGCATTTCAATGCCAAAACTGTGTCATGAAAAGGATTCGAAAATTGTCAAGTTCGTGGTTATCTCCGACATGCGCTGGAGGAATTGGCGAGTAAAGATTACCGAAACTGGCGCCGAATCATCATGCCCAATATGGCCTTCAGTCAGAGAATCACTAGAATTCCAGTCAATTCCGGTGCGTTTGAGTTCGTATGGTCGTCTCGATAAGCAATTTCGATACTCGTAATCTCATCTTTTCATTCGTATAGCTTCAAATCCAAGACGCAAAGAGCATTATTTGGCTTTCAAATTCGGCACATACATCAAAATTGTTTTCTAAAGCTCTTGCAAGCTCGACTCCGGACTACACCTATCAAAACCCGATCATCTTGATCATGACAATTAATCGCCTACAAGTGGTTGGCCTATTGAGAGAAACTGTAGCTGAGAATGAAAAAGCTGTCTCATCAGAGACAGACGTTGGCGAGGAAGATGTGGGTGCTACTAGCGAATACAAGGAAGAGCCAGGAAAGTTACCAATACCGAAAGTAAACAACAATGAAGAGAGCGCTTCCAATGGTCCTACAACCATCCAAGACAAGTACAAGCTTCCTCCGATGCTATGGAAAGCCAAGACGTCTACTACACCTGATAGTTTCGCCTTCGACAAGAACAAAGATTCGAAGATGAGTGGCTCAGAAGATGTCTCTATCTCAAAGGTCAGTCGCGAAGAGCAAACTGAGCGCATTAAATCTGTTATTCAACGCGTTGAGACTTTAGATAGCATCTTACGTTCAATGCGAACGTCTTTCCAGCTATTTTCTTTTGATGTTCAGCGCCACATGAATTTCGTTTCAGAACAACTCGAAGACGTGAGTCGTCGACAAGTCACTAAAGAAACTGCCACGACATCAACACCATAAATGGAGAAAAGTTTTCTGCAAGAACAAGCTGAGCTGGCTCGCTTTGATGCAGGAGAACAACCTCAACACCGTCGCAATGAGACAGCATCACCGATAATTCCACACGTCGCTGAAAAGTACGATCCGGATCATCCTGATGCAGACTGGGCAGGTTTTGTGCGTCGTTCGTATAAGAAGCGCTTTTACACAAATCAATCTACTGGCAAAGATGTACGATTATTTTAAAGATTCTCGTTTAATGCGTCAAAGACATTTACTGTTGTCTATGTAGAGCCTAATATATGACGAGAAAGGTGGTCTCATCCCACGCATTGCTGAACGATCGACGATCTCAGGAAAAAAGATATTTGAGCGTCAGCTACATCCGTCAAATGAGCATTTGATATCTGATCGTGACAGTAATTGCTCGGACTGGAAAACGTAAGGCGTCATTTACTTAGACGTTTGTAGTATGGACATTGACTGGTACCTGTCTATTTGCAGATCATACACTTCTCAAACATCAATGGAAGCAACGGCCAAGGACGATTTTGTGCTTGGCACGCGGCAAAATCTACAACATAAACGTCATGTGATGCCAATGGTATGTAAGTTCGTTAGATTTGAGTTATATGGCCTCAATTAAATATTGCCAAACAGTATGAACAAGATGCTCGCAATCAGTTGTCGGAGAACAATCGTCAAGGATCTCCATCACTTCATGATAGTGGGAGCTCGGGATTGCTCTCTGAACGTCGGATTGACCCTCGCCGGTCTATTCTCGCTGGCATCGGCAAGCTTGTAGCAGCTGAGGACTTAAACGGCATTAAACCGTAAGAAGCTATTGAAAGATTGATCATCACGTGCGTATATCTTACTACATAGTGTGCATGTAGGCCACCGGCACGTCATTTATCAGAAAGCTATAGAAATTCATCATCCAAGACACTTTTACCGGAGAACTAGTGAGTAAATTGTATTTCTTGTGATGGTTTAAGCTTCGTGAATATTTTATCTGTGGTGTTCATCCAGCCACGCGACAACTATCGGGTACACTGGACGTCGAAACATCCTATAAATGCAATCAGAACGAGATTTATAGGATGAGAAGTAGTTAAGATGGTAATACTAGCACGATTACATGGAATGCATGTCGATCCGCAGGGCAAAGAGGCTGATTAAAGCACCTCCGAGTGAGAATGCGCCTCCTACAAATATTGGCAGCGCGTAACCGAATGATGTTTCGACTAGTACAGCACCGACCAAGAAATTGACGAGTTGGCCTACACAATTGGCCGAGTTGACAGCGCCAACGTACATGCCAACCTGTGCTGACGATCCAAAGACATGAACGATAATTGGCACAATGAGGGCGAAAATTGTGGCCTGAGTGATGGCAGTCAAGACGACAATCGTTATGTCCAAAGCTACGATCTTCGTGAAAGGCATAACCATGAGCAAAATTTGTGGAATGCACGCAATTGTGATGACCCAGCGTGCTCCTAGTCGACAGACGATGAATGGCAGTATCCATGAGTACAGGTAGCCAAGTACATTAAAGAGAAGGTCAGCGAGACCGCCAGCAATTTGGACACCGTCATTATAGAGTTGCTGATCCTCGGTACAATGATTTGGTCCACACACATCCGCTTCTGTCGAGTTTCCGCCAAAAACTTCAATCCCAAAGAACTGACCTTTGCTCCCGTTGTATGCAGTGAAGCCGAATTGAATACAGAAAAACACAAGACAGTAAATGCTCAATGTGTGAGGAAGTGTCTTCAATCCGAAGAATATCGAAGAGAATGCTTCGTTGATCCGTGTCAGTGTACTAGGAGGGTTTTCACCAGGTCTTAGTTCCACTTCTTTCACCAAAGCCACTTCTTCATTGGCAAAGATGCATACAGCACATACAGAAGCCAGCATCGTGACAGAGAGCATGCCGAGGAACCAACGGAGTGTTAAATGGGCTGCACCAAAGACGTAAATGTATCCTGCAACCCAAATAGAGCCTAATGTCGAACTGGCTTGTCCAATGCTAGCTCCAAGAGTCTGTCGATCACCTGCAAAATCAGAAATGAGGAGAAAAGCGGGAGTCTGAACCACATTGACAGTTATATCCATCCATGTGTAAAAAACGATGGTAAGCCAAGCAGTGTATGGTCGGTGGTCACCAGAATCGCCTAAGAATTCTCCCAACTCGCGGGTATATCCCATGAGAACCCAACACGCTGCACTTGTGACAGCTCCGTAGACTAAAAACGGGCGACGACGTCCCCATTTGCTCACATTTCGATCACTTAGCACACCAATGATTGGCGCAACTAGTATACCGGAAAGCGGACCGATGAGTTGTGTGAGTTGCACAGCAAAGGGTGGTATCATGGTACCAAGATACGGACCAAGAGCAGCCCATTGAGCTGACCAAGCCATATTGGTGGCCATTCGAGGTAAAGACAGCAATACGAGCATCAGGACAGAACACCCGGCAGTGTGTTTACTTTCGTTGGAATCGTTGAGATCAAGATTTGAAAAGGTTGAAAGTCTTGGAGGATGTTCCAAGAGGCCTAAAGCTACCGACTCACGGTGTGATGCAGACTCGACACGGTTGTACACGGGTGTTGTCACTTCAAGATGAACACTCATATCGTTGGCAATTGTTGAAGAGAGGGCAATTTATTGAATGACAGCTTGAAGACGTCGATTTCGACACATTTACAAACACGTTCAAGCTTATCAGGTTTGTTGGTCTCAGATATACGCTTTAGTCGTACGTCTTACGTACGTGCTCAGACATTGCAATCTCATTTGAAAGCAGTACTCAAAACCATTAAAGTAACTTCATCAATGCGATCGACTGTAAGACAAATTCAATACTCATGTTAGACAAATTAGGCCGTCGTATTTGATTTATTTAAACGCTCGCGAGCGTCTTGTAAAGTCTGTCGCATACGTTCTTTTGTACGTTCTTTTAAATTTCGAAAAAATGCGATATCATCCTGTAATTCAACAAGAATATCGTGACTCATTCCATGCACTTGTGCTTCGCGGTACGATCTTCGTAAATCGTGTAAAATATCCAATACTTCTTTTAAATGACGTGTATCTCGATCTCGTTGTTCGGCTACTTTTTGCCATTCGTGAAGACTCATCTTCATTTTACCAAGTCGAATGGACTCCATCAATTGATCTGTGACGACCGTTCGACAATTGCCACACAATTGTCCATCAGCTACGACATTCTGAGTATACGAGTTGGCAATTCCACTTAAAATTTCCAAATCGGTTGTTGGATTCTCGGCTGTCGAAGTCGCGGATTTGCTTAGATTAGGTACTGGGTACTGCATCGCAAGGAGGTTTCCTTGACTTCCATCATAAAATCCTTGTAATTCTACTGTAGAGGTTGCTGTCTCTGGTTGGGTTGACATTGTCATGGGTAAATTCCTCTTATTTGTCATATTACTGATAATCTGCATCTCGGAGGTGTCTCCAACGCTTTCATTTCCAATTTCCTGCTCACCTCGCTTGGGTAATTGATGTCCACTATTACCAAAAGAAGATCCTTGAACACTTGAGGCAAGAGTTCCATCGTATTTGCGCAATAAAATAATGTATCCCCCTTTATTGTCATTAGCATTCGGTCCTTTCTTGATGGGACGGATGCCACGTCGGTAGCATTCAGCACGCAGATCGTGTGCACGATGGCGTTCATAAGGTTCATGCAGACGACGTACAAATGCTTTTACTCCATCTGGTAAATCAACGCCTCCGCTGCTACTGTGAACGTCGCTAAGCAATGAGCTTTTGCTTGCGTCCATTTGCTTTGTATAAGTATAAACTTCTTAGATAGAATTTATACAATTTCTAAAAAATTTCGATAACTAACTCAATCGGAGTGAATGTAGTACCGACACTCTAAGCTCAACGGCAAGGACGAGCTATATCTGGGCAAAGACTGTCAGTGAACGATAGTAAATGGTGTTTGAAGAGCTAAATGGAGCTCTGATCTGATCATATTTAAAAGTATTTCTGTCTCAAATGCCGAACAACCATTTTTAGAGAATACGCAGATCTACATCTCACACGAGCTACGCGAACGAGGGACTTGTCATGGATCTATCACCAGATTTAACTGCTGAGGTTACACGTCTTAGACATGAAGTGAATGCTAAGGAAGAGGCACTCAATGCGTTGAAAACCAAGACTAAGGCGTTTGTTGACAACATGCGTAGTCAACTTGCAAATGAGACACAGAAAGCTATCGCGTTGGAAGCGAAGCTGAAAGAAGCCACTGCAGCTTCAAATGCATCAAGTTTAGGATCCGAACAGCAACGTTGGACAGAAGAGATTGAAAGATTGAAAAAGGAGACAAATTTACGTGAGAATGACTTGAAATCTCGTGCAAAGTCATATGCAGACGCTATGACGTCACAATTAGAAAGCGAAAAGAAACGATGTCGTGAACTGGAGACTTTGCTGCAGCAAAAGACGGAAGCTCTTGATGCTGCTAAAACTATTGCGACTCCAACTAATGAGCTTGATTTTTTTTCACAACCAGTAATTGCTACTGGGTCACACACGGATGATGAGTTTCATGCCGTGCAGTCACAATTAAGTTCAGCTAATTTTGAAATGGCTGACTTGCGTGAACAGCTTCGAAATGTTGAAGCGGGTGCTTTGCAATCAACACGACAAGCGGAGAATGCTAGTCATGAACTAGAGACGCTACGTGGGGCCTCAGAACAGCAGTGTCGTGAGCTACAATCTGAAGTGAACTCTCTGAGAGCTCGTGAAAGTTCATTACAAGCACAACTCCAAGCTACGGAGAGTAGAGTTAATATGGACAAGATATGTGAATTGGAACTTAAGATTCAACAGCACAAAACCGAGAATCATAGTCTTCAGAATCAGCTAATCGACAAAGATTTTCAACTAGAGCAGTTGGATAACTACCGACGACGGGCAGATGATAGTGAGACTAAGGTGCTTCAACATCAGGCGGAAATTAACGTGCTACAAACCAAGCTATCGTCGTACTCGTGCAATAAATGTAATGTACTTGAAGAGAAGTTAGCAGAGATTACCCAGCTTTATGAAAAAGTTAATCTTGGTCGAAGTCGCAGTGATAGTTTAATCGCCGAGACGCAGTCGCAATTAGGAGAACTTCAGACTATAAAGCAGCAATATGTGGCGTCTCAGGATCGAGTGGATGATTTAATGAAGCAGAATCTCAAGCTGAATGAAAAAGTCACGGAAAAGGAAATTCAAGTAGCGAATCTCAAGGCTGAATTGCAGAAATCGAGCACGGAGTTGGCGGATCTGAAGTCGCAGCACAATGCGCTCATGTCTGACAGTACGCAGCACCGTCAACTCTCCGAGTCGATTCACGTTGATTTGCAGAAGGTTGAGGAGACTCGAAACGAATTGCAAGCTAAATGCATCAATCTGGACAAGAAAAACAAGGAGCTTACGACAGCAATAGAAAGTATTAATAAGGAAAATACTGATAAACGTCAGAAAGCGAAAGCTCTTGTACAGACATTGGTGGGAGAGAAAACGAGCTTGCTTGAGGCTAGAAGCCACTTACAGAAAGAAGTTGATCGACTGCGAATGGAAGTGAATCAGCGTAATGTTGACAACGATCAACAACTCAAGACACTTCGAGATGAGACCAATGAAAAAGCAGCTGAGAATCTAATCACCATTCAGAGCTTGACGGATGAAGTTGCTAAGTTGAAACGCACTCTTACAACTGTTCAGGAATCCGAGAAGGTTCAACAACGGGCGAAAGAACTTGCAGCAGCGAAGCGGGAGATCGAAGACTCAAATAAGAAGCGACTTGCCGCAAAGGCAGAGACGCAAAAACTTGCTGTGGAGCTGGAGAATATGCACAGGTGCCTCGATCACATCACGACGCATGTCAATGCAGTTTGCACAGATAATTTTCAGCAGATTGCTCTTGTTCAAGGGCATGTAAAGGAAGCTCTTGAGGTGTTGAAGAGCCGAGCTGGATCTGGGGCTCAGAACAAGAAAGTGCCCGAAGAAGACCCAACTATCAAAGTTGAGGCACTATCTGATATCCGATGTGGAAATACACAACAAAATCCAGGAGCGAAGCGACTGGAAGAAAATGTATCGCGCGTCAGTGAGCAGGTAAACAATAATTCTTGATTCTATCGTGACTTACTTATTGACTGGAGTTTGTTTTTTTAGATTCGACAGCTAGTGGACATCACTGAGCAATTGTGCGAAATCGCAGTTGGGCAAATGGAAACTGACCTTAAAAGTGTCATTATCAACAAATTGACACAAACGTTCACTCAGTGTTTCTCCGAGAAACTTCACACAGTTTGCTCTAAAGCCGACGAAGCCGTGAGTCTCTTGGATGCTCATGGGCCGACATCAGAGAGTGGACTCGCAGCTGTCCGACCTATCAACTAACATTGTAACAGCAAAGCAGTTAGTTATGATCTTACTTATTAAACGGACTTTAGTAAATATGATTTACTACCTTTTCGATATCGCTGTCTCAAGCATTATTGTCGTTTTTGCTTCAAAGTCTTCACTGTCAACTTTTTTTATAGAAGTATCGCAGCCAACAATCGATCCAGCGTCGTCCTCTTTGTGAGAAAAAAGCTGCTCGACCAAATACCTGTTTGAGTGACACTTGTCTACAAGTACCTGCAATAACATCTTTGACTGCACAATTTTAGCCGCTGCGCCTGCCATCTCGTTGACCTCTTTATCCTGAATCACAATTAAGCGTCTTACGATTCCCTTGATATGCTCAAGAATCTCTTCATGGGCTGAAAGCACGCTTCGGCGCTCCAGCGCTGCAGATAATACCTCTCCACTCGTAGCTCTTTGCCCTGCAGGCGTTGGGCTTTTCATCGCAGTGTACTCCAACAACCCTACCAATAGGTCTGCCATATCCTTCCAAACAGAAGCAAACTTTGCACAAGTCTGTAGCTTCGTAAACTCTTCACAGAAGACTAAAGAAAGCATTTGAGCAACAACCACATGTGGTCGAAGAGTCAATGGGTCTCTCACGGACGGTCGGCGTCGACGGCCACTCACTCGTTTGGTGTCGCTATGAGCGTGCATCTGTTTTGAATATTTCTCGTCGTCTATTGAAGGCAATTGTCGTCTATAATACAGAAAAGAAGAATTTGTTTCTTCTTCGTTATCGCCAAATGGAATTTGTCCATCAGAATCCTCATATTTAGGTTCATAGAGTAGACCTAAACCAATGGGATTCAACCCGTACCGAAGAATGTCAAGCCAAGCCCCGGCCATGAACGATTGATCAGTTCCAGCGTGCGCACATAGCATGTGCTTAAATCCTTCAATTACCAGAACCACAAGTTCGTTTGAGAGCTCTCCTTTCATTTGGTTTAACAAGAGCTGCCTCGACACGATAGCCATTCCGCCAAGAAAGCGCAAGCGTTCTTCTACATAGTTGGGTACATCTGTGCGGAGCGTATCAAACATAAAGAGAAGCAATTCAATGGGTCTTGAAGGTGCATATAAATCGTGCAGACCTCGGTATTTCATCGCGAACATCATCATCTTTAGATAACAGTCACTGATCAAAATCTCATTTCCATCTCCATTCCATATTTTTTCTATTACAAGACGCTCCAGAAGTTGAAAGCCGTGATTTGCTGCATACGAACGCTTGATTGACCAACTTATCAGGTTGCAGATTGTCAGCCAATTCACACGGGAATAGTGCAAATTTTTCGGGCGCATCACTGCCACATAGCGATCCAGTCCGCACATGATGGGCGCCAGAAAGGGTCCAATTAGCTCGTCGTCGCCGCTCAACTCCATCAAAGAGCTCAAGAATGTCACAAGCAGCAGTCCGTGGACGTCACTTCGTGTATGTGTTACCCAAGCAAACAAACCGTTCATCGCCTTGTACAACAGAAAACACGCATTTTCGTACGACAAATTGCTTGGGCATTGATTAGTGAGTAGTACTGGTCGTAAATGCTCGAGTAATTGGGTGTAATGTGCCTCCAACACAGCAGATATGCCATCTTCTTCACCAGCAAACAGCGATCCGCTAAGTGAAATACATTGGCTCAGTAGGTGCTCAAAGAATACACAACCACCTTGGCTAAGTACCAATTTGGTATCTTTCGAGGGCTCATGTTCATCAGAACCTCGCAGTACCGACATGATTTCCTCATGCAGCGCTTTGATAACTTCAACCAGGGCGCGAGATGGCAAGCTTGCTACATCTTGCAATATAAACTCTACACGGCAAGGTTGTAACGTATGTCGAATCCACTGGTCTGTACCAATTTTGATGTCATCACCAGATGGCACCGTTGTTGGCGCTTCTCCCTCAATGATAAGATCTTCAGCGAGCAAAGCGAGCTCAGTGGGGCTACGCTGATAGTGCTCAAATTCCGTCAGTGACGAATATCGAGTAGTTGTCATAGATTCAGGGGTCGAACGGCCAAGATTCGAGTCAAGCGCCGTTAGTAGCCACGCTACACCGCGAAAAAAGCTACCAGTATTGTTCTCATTCATATCTTGTTCATAAGCGCGAAGTTCAATCTTTCGTTCCAATTCTGCTTTGTTTTTGTAAACCATGTTAATAAAGTCCAAACGCTCGTCATTATTTAAAAGCTCCAGATTCATGTCTTTGCTAGAATACAAAATTTGAGACGGTAAAGCGCGAAGTTCTCGCAATCCGCTTACGAGGTGAAAAAAATATTTCCAGGAATGGCTCAGAAGCGTCAAGCTGTACGAGCTTACGAGCTTTAATACCCCTGCAGTTGCTAATGAAGCACTTTCATTATCACAATACACTGATATTCCATTTTTGCGGCCATTGTAGCCGACAGGATAAACATCTGACGATAAGAGAGCCGAGTACTTGCAAAGGCGAATAAATATTGTGTTGCAGTGCTCAACCAATGACAAATGAGATGCTACTGCTGCGCAGATAACGAAACCGTTGCAAGCGAGCTGTAGTGCCGTTTTCTGTGGCAAATAGCGCACCTCATAACTACTTCCCACGCCGAGATCGTCACCACGAGAAGCATCCTTTGCTTGAGAGTCTAAAACAAACTGATGAAAAACACTACTAAAGGCTAGTACGAGGCTTGATTGGATAAGCTCCAAGATATGACGATCGTATTGATTACCTGAGCTAGCATTGAGTGGTATCGGTCCATCAAAATCATCTTGTTGTATCCACTTACTGCTTCTACGTAAAAAAGGGGCTCCAGAAGTGGGGCAAGGGGCGCACTTGGTAGATTCCTTGTATGATTCCACGGCATTCGAGGATTGTGTTTCGCAGTCACAAGTTATGCTTGATGAGCGGAGATGCAACGATAGGTGATGCACAATTAGACGAGAGTTGCGTGGGTCACTTTCGGCTTGGTTAAGTAGATCCTTCCAGCGATCGCTTGTAACTCCACCGTGTTTCCCACAATCTTCAACAGTTTTTATTTCATCCTTTAGTATTGCGTTATATAGCTCCGTCAAAAAGTCTTCCGGCAAATCACGACCTTTGGAAACCTCCGGGCCGTAATTTTTATTATTCTTGATAAACTCCGTCAATTTCATCTTCTTATCTGCTCGGATATTTATATTGTGCAGATCCGTGTTGAGCATAATCAAACTGAATGATAACAAATAGGCAACATCTGCGGATGCCATGAGGAATCGCTCGCGACACTGCTCATACACTTGGATTGAAAACGTGTTCAAGATTCGGTCGATTTGTTGAGCTTCTCCTGGAAGACGAAAACTTGCAAGGAACATGCGCAATGCTGTGACAATACTTTCGCCTTCAAAGTTGAAAGATCGAACAAAGTTTGTCAGGACATCACGATGAAAGTCCATTGTATCAGCCTCATGGATGTCCGTCTTCTCGAAGCCTTTGACTTCCTTGCCCATTGCACCCAAGTAATTACCAACTGCATTCTTGTTCAAGCCTTGGGGAAGAGATCGCAAAAACGTCGCTAGTGATACACTGTCAAGTGGAGTTGGCAGGAACGTATTTTGCTGCAAATACTTGACTCCAGCTAATGGCTTGCGATTGAATTCCTGAATGCCATGCTGAAAAAACTTTTTGCGCTGTCGATTCCTAAACAACTCTTCAGCAAGAGCAAATTCATCAGCGTCGGTATGTAGTACATGGTCGTCTTGATCCACCAGTAAGGAATCCTCTCTCATTCGATTATCACTGTGGTCTAGACAGCTATTTCTACTCCCGGAAGACAATTTCGGCTGCGTACGTAGATGCACGATATACAATGCGTTGAACATTCCGCGAAGTGTTGTTTCTCCAATTGCTTGCGCCCACAAGAAATGATCTTCATCATGTGACTCAAAGCAAGCGATATGAGACTGCTGCACAGCTTGTGATAACAGCTCAAATAACGTCTGTGTTAAGTCACAGCGATTGCCATCGCAGTCATAATTCACGTATAAGTCAGGTAGCAATGTTGCTTCAGCAAGCAAATCGTTCAAACAGTCGAGAATTTCAAACGAAATGCTATATAGCTGCTGTTTGGAAAGCATCATGCCTGAAAATTCTTCGTGCGCAGCATCAACCATGGTAACAGATTTGTCGTCAATGTGGTCGAGGGTGTCTGGTGCAAGTCGACTGGTGTCGTCTCCAAGCGGAAAATCTGGATGAGATACATCCATATTGGCCACACACCAGTGCAGCGTGTGAAAGAAGACGCCATTAATCAGAGTTTCTACTTGCATCTTGAGCTCCGATCGAAATTTGGACCACAAGAGTCGAATTAATCCAAGACACGCAACTGTAATTTTGGGTTCTGCACATGCACTGCATCAAGGACGGAACCATAAGTCTTAGCTACTCAACTTACAAAGAATGCAAATAAAGCACACAGAGCAGCACACACCCGAGTCGACAGTAACGCAAAATAGCGCAACACAGATCATCTTTGATAAACAATAACAACGATGGTTTCTGTTTGAGGAGTTCTGCGTCACATGCGATTAGCGCACGTTGTAGCAGTGTGAGCGACAATAAAACTTTGCGCTGATTTGTAGCCGTTTTATTTGACGTAGTAGATATCTCCGAAGTTGCTGAAGCGGCAAAGTTCCTCTGATGCAGCTTTTGACATAAAAAACCCGCGACTTTCACCGCACAAGGCAAACCAAAGCCCTGCCTTACATGTGACTCAGTTGCAGCAGAAATCGTATCGGAATAGATGGCGGGATTTGAGAAGATAAAGGTCATAGTGTCATGCAGAAACGTCGTGGCAGTCGAACGCAACAGTACCGTAACATGTGCCTATACAGCAACTCAGATAAAATCTGGTGAGTTTATCATGAAGAGTGATTGAATACGTACATCGTGCCGATCGCTGCAACTGAGAGCATAGAGCGACTCTACAAGCTGCCACATTGAATGGTCTGATAGTCTCACACCGCACGGTGAGAGCATTACTCCATGTAAAACGAGCACAATCAAGACAAGCACATTTTGATCGCTTTGAATACCCGTTTCTTGAAAACGACAGTGACTAACAGCATCCACAATGTCCGAAACCGCGTCCACAGTCGCATTCTGGTCCTTCACGTCACCCCAAGGCCACATGTTCAAGATATTTAGCACTGCTTGTAAAGCTACACCTGTTACGCTACTACCAGCGTCTTCGTGGCGAATGACGGCCAAAAAAGGCCTAATAACATCGACAGGTGATAATTCCGCCATGACTACATTATATTCGTAAATTATAAGAAAATGCTTCAGCACGCGTTGACTTTTACTTACTATCGCATCGAAGAAGACGTCCACGTAGTGACGAAAAACTTTGAAAGACCGCATGCGGGCTCTCCTGAAGTCATACGAAAGAGTGAAGGTCATGTTTCAGTTAAATTTGCGACAAGATGGCGTGGCCAAAAGTACGTATACACACCTGATTCACTCGCTGAGTAGTAGTTGAAGTCAGTAAGTAGCCATGACGCTGTCTTGCGAGACTCAGTACGCACTGAATATCGCTCAGCAGCACGGAGCGGACAGCTGCCATGGTCTCAAATAATGTGACCGATTCTTAACATCCTCTTATTCATGTCCACCACATGACTATTGTGTTTTCAACATCGACTTGGATTATAATCCGCAATACGACCAACGTGTTCCGAGCTGACAACAATGAAGGTGGTGGCTCTCGTGAGCGGCGGAAAAGACAGTTGCTACGCCATGATGGAGTGTGTGCGTTTTGGCCACGAAATTGTGTGCCTAGCGCATCTGCATCCATCGTCGCAACTGTCAGCAGATGACGCTGAGATCGATTCTTTCATGTTTCAAAGTGTCGGCCATCAGAGTGTTGAGCTCATCGCCAAGAGTATGGAGCTACCATTGATCTCAGAGACTATTTTGGGTACTGCAGTGACAACAGACATTAATTATCACGAATCAGCAGTAGGTGATGAGGTTGAAGACCTATTTCGACTGCTACAAAAGGTCAAGGTGCAGTGTCCAAACGTTGAAGGTGTCTGCACAGGTGCCATCTTTTCTAGCTATCAACGCAATCGAGTCGAGAATGTGTGCGTGGCAAAGTATTGTCACGCTTTTATGATGAATTGCTGATCATTTTTACTCTAGCTGTTCGAGAGTGGGACTCACATCGCTCAGCTACTTGTGGCGTCGCGATCAGACCGAGTTGCTGCAAGAGATGATTGATTCGAAAATAGAAGCCATATTGATTAAGATTGCATCCATTGGATTACAACCACGAATGCACCTGGGAAAGACAATAGCGGAGCTGCAGCCACAATTGATGACGTTGGTGAGTTTCAAAAGAGCAATTTATCAGCAAAGTGTACTGTATACTTATGTTATTTGGATAATTGTTTAGAAGGAAAAGTATCATCTTAATGTTTGCGGTGAAGGCGGCGAGTACGAAACTTTCACGCTCAATTGTCCATTGTTCAAAAAGCGCATTGTCATGTACGTCTCTTTGTTCAGTGTGTCTTTAACATTTCTAACGTTGAGACTTGATTTAAGTGATGAGAGCCACGTCGTAATTCATTCGGATGACTATGTGGCACCTGTGGCGTTTTTGTCGATTGACAAATGCCATCTGGAGGACAAAACCCCCGCTAGTCCATCGCACCTGGCTTTGCGAATTCCTCGTATTTCGCCTCCTAATGTATCAAGGCCCACAAATCGTACGAGAAAAAAGCTAGCAACTATGCTCGCTCTTACGCCACAGGCAGCAAATGATCATGTGCCTACTTTTGGTCAATTTCGCGACCAGTTGCACGTATCAGGCCTTATGAGTAGATATATTGGTGACGCATCAATTACTTTAGAGGAAGAAATCGCGGATATTTTTTCTCAGATAAAGGCGATTCTTCAAAGCCATCGAATGGAATTAAACGACGTGTGCTACGTGCATTTATACGTCCAGGATATGTCCTCGTTCAGTCAGCTCAATGCCGAGTATATCCGGCACCTTGGTCAACACTTGCCCCCATCGCGTTCGTGTGTCGAAATTAATGCATTGGCCAATGTTCCAGCCCGTGTGCTTATAGACTGTTTTGCGTTGCGTGGTAGTGGAGTTCAGAAGTTACAAGCTCTACGGGTGCGCCGTGACGTCTTACATGTCAAGAGTACGTCAAGTTGGGCACCAAGCTGTATCGGTCCTTACAGCCAAGCAAATGTACTGCACCGTGCGCTTATATTGCTGGCTGGACAAATCGCTTTTTATCCTCAAACGATGGAACTGGTTCCAGGCGACCGTGCAACTCAAACAACTCAGTGCTTTTACAATGTCTGTCGTGTCTTGGAAGCGCTTGATTCAAATCTTCGTCATGTGTGCTCTAGTGTCATTTACACCACTGGAGACCCTGAAGACTGCGGGGGTCGGGAGCGCCTGCTAGCTGACTGTCGTCGCCATCTACTAGCCAACGCTGAGCTGGTCGATGTATTCGAAGACGTTGTAGACAGTGACGAGAGTGACGGTGAAGTTGACAAGAAGGAAGCGCGCTTGGCGTTTGTGAAAGAAGCTCCGCTGCTGATTGTTCAGCTGTCTCAATTACCACGTAACGCACTTGTAGAGGTGGAGTCTCAGGCGCTCACGCACATTGCGTTTAAATATCTTAGACCACAAAGTTTCACGCGCACGAATCGTCTCGGCAATCTTCGTTTTGACTGGCAAACAGGAATGGTGCCACGAGCAATGTGCCAAATTGTGTGTACAGCATCAGCAGAAAGTAGTGAAGACTACTTAGATACAAGACTGTTGGCCAAAGCTGTCGCAGAGGGAATGTGGACATGCATACTTGACAGCCTCGTCCAAGCTTTAATGCCCTGGGATCGTGTGGTACATGCTCGGACATTTTATGTGGCATCAGCTTTCTCTAGTGAGATTGAGCTAGCTAAAATGTATCACAATACCGTCACGGCACGAGGAAAGGTACAAAGCATGCCCGGTATGACGTTTGTACCTGTGGACGCCATCCAAAGCAATGCGCTTGTTGCACTTCAGGTGACAGCGCAGGATTTGGACAAACTCGAGACAGAGCTATGGCTGCACAAGCAGATATAGCCACTTAGACGAAAGTGAGCTTGTAACAATCAATCAGTCGGATCTTAACTGCCGTAAAAAATAAAGCAATGAATGTATAAGAGTCCACACCTTTGTCGCTATTCGTCGATAAAATGCACTTCCTTTACCTTGTCTAATGCCGACGTTTATGCCGCTGATCACTAGTTCGGCTACTGCTGGATCGATCATCGCGATTTCTACGCTTCCGAGAATCGCGGTCTCGGGATCGTGCACTTCGCTCTGATCGGTTACGCCCACTTCGCTCCCTTTCCTGCTCAACTGTTCCACGGCCTTCACGCTCTCGTGGACGGTCCCGGTCTCGGTCGCGATCGCGTCCACGATCTTCTCGACCCTTTTCGCGATCTCGTTCTCTACCACCATCTCGACCTCGATCTCGATCTCGTTCACTTACTCGATCTCGATCCCGTTCACTTACTCGATCTCGATCCCGTTCACTTACTCGATTTCGATCCCGTTCACTTACTCGATCATGGTCACGTCGATCTTCTCGATCTCTATCACGATTTCGGTCCTGGTCACTTATCCCTTTACTACTGTCCTGTTCATCTCGGCGTCCACTACTTCGTGGATCATCACGGCGAGGGCGATCGCGAGACTTTGATCGATCGCGACTTGCTTCCTGTGATCCACCTCCAGGTCTTTCACTCCAGTCATCCTTGCCACTACTTCCGCGATCATCTACAACGCCACTACGGCCTCTGTCTCCGCCGGGTCCACCCATCCAAGGAGGTCCCACTCCAGGCCCAGCGCCCCATGGCGCTCCTCCCATAGGTGGCCCATTCCAAGGCTGCTGACCCATAAAGCCTGGAGGCGGGCCCATACCTGGATGCCAGCCTCTTGGAGGTGGGCCACTTAAAAATGCACCTCGCGGTGGTGCACCGCCCATTGGCGGCAAGCCATTTCCCCCAGCGCCCCATTCTCCGGTCTGCTCATCTACACCATCTCCTTTCATTGCTCCTGAGAATCCCCGTGGAGGCAATCCTCCACCTCCTCGTATTTGTAGCTTTGCATCTCGATCTCGCATAGCTTGCTGATTAGCTGCATTAACCGCCTGTCTCGATGCTTGCTCTGTCGACTTCTCGACAGCAAGCTCACGCCTCAATCTCAATTGTCGTGTAGCGTACTCCCTCCAACTGTGCTCATCAAACCCATAATTAAAATAGTCGGATATATCCACACCAGGTTTCCGCCATGGTCTGTCTTCGAGCAGATCTATATCCACATCAAATGCGGTGCGCCGTCCTCCGAACATGGTCATGTCATCCAACCCATCGGCCGTGGATCCACCTGAATCTCCAGGCTGAGAGCTTGTCATGGCTCCAGTACTCGAAACTCCTGAGCTAGCATGTTGTTGGCCTGCAAAACTGCCACGGACGTACCGATTACCGCCACCTGTGAAGCGCAATGTAGGTTTGGTGCTCGCATGGTCAGTGCTCAACACAATCGCCACGTCCTCGTCGTCCTCATCGTCATCCGAGTCCACTACTGGCTCGTCTTTTACGTCACAAGTAGCTGTAGCAGCAATTTCAGTCCCTTTATCAACCTTTGCCTCAGATTGTGACGTGGCCGAAGCGTTGAGCTTGATGGAAACACTTCCATACAGTTCTTCGTCTTCGTCTTCAGCCTCTTCTTTCTTTTCAATCTTTATGACCATCTCATTACTTGTTTCCCAGGTGGATCTAGATTCTTCTGTTTTAGCTTCCTCTTTGACACTGATTTCGTCCAAGCGCGTGGTTACGAGAACATCTTCACCAAACTCCTCGTCCTCCATGACCTACCTACTTGGATACAAACGACCTAGAGGGACGATGATGTGATTAAGTACGTCAAAACACAAATGTCAATCGAACTTAAATGAATACTTAAAGTAGTAGATTTTAGACGGTGATTGGCTTATGAAAAAATTCATTTAAGATTTGTATACTGACGCCTCCACGGCCAATAGTTTCACCCGACACATCGCTCAATTGCGCAGTTCTTCTTGTCTCGTTCGACTTTTGCAGGTAAGCATGGATTTAAGTTTACTTGCGTGATGAGGAGAGAGGCAAATTTATTGAAGAGCAGCAGGGAATGAGATGTCAATACGAGCAAAGTGATTGCAATTTCGAATGTAGGAATCGTCAGAATCGTTAGAATACAACGTTAAAGGTTGGAGCTAACAGCTACTCTTCAATTGGGATACTGAGCTATGCAACATCTCCTTTCGTATCTACCGCTCTCTCCTTCGCCACATCTTTCCAAAGTGATATGACGACGAATTCTAGTGCAAATACTAATGGCTTTTGTCCTGTAGCAGCTTAGTCCAAGATGCCACACTCTTTCGGTTACCGTGCTCGCACGCGCGACATGTTCGCCCGTCCGTTCCGTCAGAGCGGTGTTATTAAGATGTCGACCTATCTGCGAACATTCAAAGTGGGCGACTATGTGGACATTAAGGCCAATGGTGCCATCCATAAGGGCATGCCTCACAAGTTCTACCACGGTCGCACTGGCCGTGTGTACAACGTCACCAAGCGTGCCGTTGGTGTGCGTGTGAACAAGGTGGTGGGCAACCGTGTTATCCACAAGCACATTAATGTACGCATTGAACACGTCCACCAATCTAAGTGTCGACTGGGTTTCCTCACGCGTGTTAAGGAGAATGAGCTGAAGAAAAAAGAGGCTCGTGCTACTGGTGTCCGTGCTCAGATTAAGCGTACCCCTGCGCTGCCCAAGGCCGCTTACACGCTCAAGACTAATGGCGTTAAGCCCATCACCATGGCTGCACAGCCATTCGTGGACCTCATGTAAGTCGTTAGTAATGTATCTATTACTATTACTACGATTGCTTCAGTGGAGTGCACTCAATTTGTGACGGGCTAGCTCAAACTCTCGGGCTTTTTTCTAATTTTAACGAGCTGAACATAATGAAAGAACGAGTCAAACTTTTCGACGTTCGTCGTTCTTGGCATTGAAGCATACCATCGTCATGAGCGTGGATCTACATTAGGTATTACATCCTCTTACTATCACTAAGCCTGAGGAAATTATATTAATCCTCTGATCTTGACTGTCTTATCTATGAATCTTTTGCATCTGTAATATCAAGCGAAAATATAGTACTTGACATAGATATGAGGTAGTATTACAAATACATTATAGTCTCGATGTAGATTTTCACATCCATTCCGCCATTTTGTGCCCCTTCGCCACCTCCAAGGATGAACATGCCGATGGACGACGCATCGATGGAAAAATACGCCGATGTACGAATTTCATTGCGCAAAAAAACTATCAAATTTGATGAATTCTATGCAGTTTCTGGACAATCTTGAAAAAACAGATCCGGAAGGCTACAGACATCTCATTGACACAATGCAAAACCAATTGCAAGCCGCAGAGGATCCGATAAATTCATCAGGAGTTGACGCTGACGGTGCACTCTTGGATATTCTCAAGAATGTGACTGAGGTACGGGGAGGTGCTGCCAACATTGATTCGCCAGGTATGATGAGCTCATTATCGCTATTCAGACCTATTTGATAAATTCTGGTGGCTTATCTTACAACAAAATTTAAGATTTCAACCCGCGGTTTCCTGGTGATAAGGTAATGGGGAAAGACGGATTAAAGACGAGTTTAGAGGGGGTAAGTTTGGAATAAAGACAATTAAGAGGTCGAAACTAAGGTCTAACTTTGAAACTTGGGTATTTTTCAGATGTACATAGAAGTCAAAGCTGGCTTTGTTATCAAGACAACTGACGTCAAATCCAGGAAAAAGGTGTGAAGTCTAATTATATATCGACTGTGCAGTATCTTTAACTTGTGAGTGCACAGGTTTTCGTAAACGTAGTGTATGCTGATGAGATTCAAGAGTTTTCGGGTAAAAAAAAGCTGGATGATGAGGGGAAGGAGCAAGAAGTAAGGCTATTCAACATTTAACTGCTAGCCAAATTCTGAACTGAGTAGGTGGGTCTTGTGTGATCAGGGAATTCATGTACCACTTAGTCTTGGCGCTCCACATGAAGTGAAAGATAAGAATGGAGTGGAATCGCTGGCTTTTGACGTTGCAGTGAACACGAAAGTTGTAGACGATTGCCGAGCCGATAAATCCGGCGCATTTCGAAATTTTGTTTGCGAGCTTGCGATCGAATACATCGACCAGAAGGTACTTAGAATGTTTTTGTTTCGGGTACTTAATGCCACATTTGACTGACACGCGGTATATGAGGCAGTACAAAATCAAGCTTGATGGTCGCTTTAAGCTGCCAAGACTGACGTATCGTGGAGAGCTACCGCCTCCTAGGCACTATATACGCAAAACTCAGGCACCAATTATTCAGGAAGTTACTGCAGATAAGACGATTGGATCAAAAAATAGCAAGGCAAAAGCTGCTTTATCAAAATCAGCGAAAACAGCTACAGCAAAATATGAGATTTATGAAGTATACAATGGAAATCGTTTGGTGTGTACAAGACTTCCTTCTGTTTCAAAGGGCAGTACACCTTTGTCACAAGAGGTGTTGGAACAAGCGCAAAATCAATTAGTTGTCGTGATTCTGTTTCCGAACAAGATTTATACGGCGAATGACATCCAACTAGAATTGCACGCCGAGCTATTGAGTATCAAGGCACCTACTCATCATGACTTGGGTATGCACAATGCATTTCAGTGAGTTCATTCTGCGTCGAACTTATTGTGTATCTTCCAGACGTCTTTCTTCCGTATCCCGTAGATATTTCCTCTGCCAGCGTTTGCTTCAATCAGGATAATAACGCGCTGGAGATGTCGCTTGTAGTCGATAAATCTTGGAACAGTATTGCATCCGACTGTGGTTCCGCGCCCTGGCTACTCGCAAGAGCGCTTCACGAGGACAATGAAGTTGAAGATGGCAGCAATGTAGAAAAAGCTGCTGATCTTGTCGGCAAAAACCCAATGTCACTTGTGGAGAAATTTCATCTTGTGAATACAACGAAGTCGCATGATAAAGCAATTGGTGATAGACTCGCAACAAAAGCGACTCCACGATGGGATCCCGTTCTAGAAGATGAAGAGTTGCCTGAAGACCGATTTCATCGCAAAGATATGATGTCTATGCATATTCTCGAGCAGCGACGTGCTGAGCGTGAACAAAAGGCGAAAGAAGCTGATCAAAAACAGAGACAAAGGCGTGCAGAGGTTGAGAGTATGCAAAGGAAGGCAGCAGAAGCTGGTAAAACATGGCGTGAGATGTATCCGAACGAGCCAGAAACAACTTACATAGATGTCGAGGAAATTGTCCGACAGGAAAAGGAAAGACTTGACCGTCATTTGGAAAAAAAGAAAATGGAAGAGGAAGATCCATCCAGTGAGTTCATGCCTACAGAGGATGCAATTCGAGCAGCTATGAAATGGTCTGAATCCAGAGCAAACAGAAATCTTGATTTGCAATCCGCCTTGGCATTCGATTTGCTCTAAAATAACAACATGGTAATTCGTTCATACTACAATTCATCTCCTCCTTTGTACTTAATTACGAGAACCAAATATAGTTGAGCCGATACGAACGTGCGTACTACCGCAGAAAATCTGTGCAGATCAAACAAGAATTAATTGCAAAACGTCCACATTCAAAGTATCATTTCGTACCGCTAGCTCAAAGTCACCAGACATGCCCATGCTAAGATCCAGATCCGTCTCAGTCTTACCGATTGCTTCAGCCACCTGCTTACGACAAGCCACGAGACGCTCAAAACATTGAGATGTCGTGTCGCCATAACGTCCGATAGTCATGAGCCCTGTGAGTTGTAAATGCTCACATGAGGATACAATATGACGTGCTAACGTAACTGATCCATCCGCATCTATTCCCGATTTCTGCTTCTCGTCACTTGTATTCACTTGAACCATCACATTGAGCTTATCAGTGCGAAATTCACCTGATGCTTTGTTAAGAGCATCGGCAATCTTTATTGAGTCCACTGTCTCGACGACAAAAAGATTTGGTACGTCACGCACAAGTGGCTTGGCCTTATTCGACTGCACGTGACCAATGAAATGCCATTTCACATCACCTGGCAATAAAGGCGCTTTCTCCACTAACTCTTGTATCTGTAAATCAACATGAAGACGATCATTATATTGTATTTACATCACCAAAGAGTTTGCAGTCTCGTACGTAATTTTCGCCAAAATGTCGTTGATTAGCTTCGTACGCCTCGCGCAAGTCATCCACAGGCTTCGTTTTGCTTACTGCTACCAATGTACACTGTTGCTTCCAAGGACTTTTTGTCACCGCTTCCGTTACCTTAGCACGTACTGCTAGTAAGTTCTTTGCCACAGCCATGTTTTTAAGTGGAATTGATTGATAATAATTCGGTAAAACTACATTTTAAAAGAAAATAGGCTACAACTCTTAAAGTATGAATTACACTTGTCAGATATTATCAAACAATGAAGAAATGACTTGGGAACAATCGACTGTACTAAGCTAAAGAAGCATTTATTCAAAGTATCTAATGTCGCATTGTTTCTTGAGCATCGGAGGCTAAAGAGCTACCATCTTTGTCTGTCCACAAACTATTGGAGTCAGAAGCATCATTCGATGACCCTTGAAATCGAAAATCATCATCAAACGATGAGGTTGTCAAGATACCATTTGCGCTTGCCGAAGTATCGTCTTGGTAGCTTTGAGAGCCAGAATTAACAAAATTATCGTCATATTTTGAATGAGACATTGACGTCTCCTCTTCAACAGTACCAGCTTCATAACTTTCTGACCCACCAAATGTTGCTATACTTTCGCTGTCCGCCTCAGCAGCATTTGCATTGCTTGTTTCATTCGATGATCCTTGAAATGTTGCGATCGCAATAGCTCCAAAAGTTATTCCACAAAGTATAAGCAGTGCAATGGCACCACGTTTGCTCCATGGACGAGCCATTGGATGTGAGATTGAACGTAAGACTGAAGTCCTCGTCAAAATCGCATCTTCCCCTTCTTCAAGACGATCAAAGTTTAGTTGGTTCATGTGTTTGCTTTCATGCATCATATTTGTAATCTTGATTGTTATGAAATCTCGCTGGTAAAGTGCGCACAACTAATGCTGTAGAAAAGTGCCGCCATACCGAAATACATCCGCTTGAAACCCCTGTCAATAGACTCATCCCACACCACCTCAAAATAAATCGTATGAATCGCAAAAGTAGCACCTAAGTCGTCCCATGGAGCGGAAGGAACCAACATGAGACTCGGCAGCCGACCTAACACCAACTGTACGTCAACACCGGCGCTGAAAGTTTGATTTGATATGGCCATCTTACGCTCAACTAAGTTTTTTAAAGAGGTGCCTTCGCATACAAGTTTAAAGAGGTAAGCATGCGTAACAACCTAGAGTCTAGTTGAGTGAAGTAATTAGAAACAAACACTGTGATGATCTTTTGATGGAGAACAATCTCAAGAGCCGTTCTTATGAGCTATTAATGGAAACGTAACATTAATCTACACGGCATCGCTACCAATATGACCCTACGGGTTGATTCCTTATAACATCGTCTAGTAAATTCGTCTAGTGCACTTTTCAACTCGATGCTCAAGAATATTCAAATAATTAAACACTGCCGCGCTATCCATTGCTATAATCGAGTAGCCTTCTCAGTGGTACTCATGTAGCCATTGAGCTCATTTCAATGGCGTTTTGACCATGCAATTTTAATCAGGTGAGGCCTCCTTTGTTATGAAGAACCTGTACGATCGTACAGCACGATAAATCGCTCGATCAGCGCAGCTTTCCAATCGAATTGCACGTAAATATATACGATAGATAAATGCTGCAAACTTCAGTCCTTTAGTATTGAAGTTTGCCCTTCTTTTTGCATTCCATTGCGCTGGTAGTGCAAATCGAAATTACTAAACAGCAGAGCATTCGTCTTATGCTACTCACATTAACCACACTCGATTTGATAGCGGCCGAAGATCAAATGTTTGATAATTTAAATCTTCTATTGCTCGTGCTACACAACGGCCATGGACATAAGGAGCGAGATTTGAAAAGAAGATTATGCTGAGCTGCTCTTCTTTATATCAAATTTGCGTCTGAAAAAATAATCTCAATGATTCGAGGACTTGTTCATGATTGCTACAAAAATCAAAGATAAAATGACCTGCTAAGTGAGCTCAAACTTCCGCAATTTTCTCAGTCGCGTTGGTCGAGTACTGACGATCGACGGAACAATTTTTGGCTTAATGGTCTCTGCTCGTTCAGATTCTACGCTATCTTTCTTGACCTTGCGAGGATCTTCAGTCTTGGACTCATTTGCCTTAGATTTTCCTCGGGGCTTAGCGTCCATATGATCGCTTTTGCTGTTTGCACCCAATATGCCAACTCGTCGAGTTCGTGTGGCAGATGGTCGATCAATGAGTTTTGGAAGGGGTTGTGCCGGTAAAAATGCTAAAGCCACGGACCTGATGACAAAACAAGGTTTCAATACACTGCAACGAGAAACGACAAATATTTGCATCATCTACTCAATATCGTCCTTCAGCAAAGGAGTCTCCAGTTGTTTGAGCTCGCCACCAGTCCGATTCTTAATCGCTAACTCCACCAACCGACCAATGCTGATACAACAAGTATTGAAGAGTCAGGCAATCCGTCAGCAGCTAGCTATCGTACAAGTAATGAATTGATTATCTTACTTATGATAAGCAACAAAATTAAGGAATTCCAGCGATGCCCGCGAGATTTTTCCAAGACCCAACCACTCCCGAAACAATTGTGCCTTATTGTTCATAAAATTCAGCTTTCGACCTCTTGCAAACATGTCATAGATAGACCACTCCATCTTCTTAGTCCGCTCATCAGCAAAGTGAATTCGTTCCTAAAGACATCCATGCGTCAAACAATTAGAGGAATCAGCTATATAAACCTCAGCTCACGTACGTACCAAAAACGCTTCGTTAAATACGTTGTCAGTCTCAGACACAGCAAAGAGGTCAAGCTCATCTGCCAGCTCCTCTTCCTCTACATCCTCAAGCTCAATCTCTTCATGCTTTGTCTCACCACGAAAATCTCGCCAACGTCCATAATATATTGCTTCTGTTTTAAATAATTCCACTAATCTCTACAAACAGAAACCATCACTTAGCATCCTAACCATTTGCGTACAGCAACAACATTCATATTCACAAGTCCAATAGTACCCTTAAACACGACGATGCTTCAAACACTTCGGGTTCCACCAGCCCTAAAAACTGTCGCATATAATCGCCAACTATTACAAAACGAGTAGGCTCAGATATAAACCATTGCGTTCGATCCAGTACTCAGCATCTACTCACCTAGCGCCTTCACTTCTTCCACTGTAGTCAAACAAGATTGCGTAGTGTCACCAAATGTACTCATCATTGCACTAATCGTATGCAGCACTAAGGACGATTTCTTGCTAATCTTGTCAGTACCATGCTTCACACCACAGACACAAATTTCTTCAAAAAATTCTCCTTCCGCGACTTGCCAGCGTGGTTTGTAGTTGGGCGTAACTTTAGAGTAATGCGGCACCTGCGCTGGTGCAACGTAAGCACTATTTGGATGCGTGGGTAGTGCACCTCCATTATCTATCTGCGGTCCTGCCGGTCGTATAGTCCTTTGCTGAAGCATTCTAAGATACGGGTCAGACTTTACGGCCGATACGGTGTCCACTCGACCTTTCTTGTCTTCTCGCTTCGTCTCGTCTTCTGTATCAGCATTGCTATTAGACTCTCTATCGCTCGATTGTGGGACATTTCGTTTCTCGCGAATATAATTTAGCATTCTCTTCTTTTGTTCTAGAGGCAGAGTTTTCCAAGCATTGGTCTGAAGGCATTGGTGATCAATATATTAGATTATATTGCCAGAATAGACTTGAATACTTCTGCACACCTCCTTGTAGGGATACTTTTGCTCAATGGCATGAAAAAGGCGATGGACCTGCTCCAGCAGAGGCAAGTACGCTAAATCCTTCAGTCCGTACTCATCGGAGATGTCTGCTTCAGCAGGAGTCGACATTATTTAGTATTGAAATAAGACCATCGCCGCATATTTTTATTATTATTATTTTGGGCTATGTCAAAATTAGGATAATGCACAAATGGACATAGCAGTGCTGAGTTTCTATACTCCGTCCTCTGCAGCGACTTGATTAGTCTGTTCACAATATTGATAGAGGTACTCTTCATTTTGAAGACAGAAAAAATTACCGATCGTGATGTCTAAGGAATTTGTCAACTGCTTTTGCTGGTCAAGATCGTGTTAATGTGGGCTTGACCAGAAATAAGCATGCTACTTCTCGGATGTTGTAGGATGATACTCAGTCCACGACCCTGAGAATGTAGATGAAAACTCTCTTGAGTTGGATTTTGTCTTGGGTTCAGGGACAAGCTGTAGCCGGAAATACACGCGCGCTCACAACTACAAGAAACTGAAAACAACAAATGTTGAGTTCTGCCAGTACTTAGGCTTATGCAGCGGGGCTGCCGTAGCTCTTTTCCTTAGGGGTAGCTTGGTTAAGGTCAGTGACCTTCGTTCATACTTGGAACCAGTACGAGCGTAGCGAATCGCGATCCACTTACTTCAAAAACAACCTTAACCCAAGGCTGTATTTCTCGGTTTTATTTGCGGCAAGGCCCCTATATCTAACTCTATAGGTTTTCTATACATATATATATAGTGAAACCCAATTAAATGTATAACTACTGGCTGTTCCAGCCACGTACTGACTTCACATCCTTCCTATCAGGGCACGTGAAACTTCGATACAGCTTGAGTTAAGTGCTTTAATTTAGGAGAAGCGCACCCATAAAACAGTAGGTAAGGAATCACTACTAGTAATTACGCTAGTATGCTGGTTCACGGATGGCTCTAGACTGGATTTTGGAGTCGTCGATTTAGCTGCAGGGCAGGCACCTATAACACTCTGTCATCAGAGTCTCTCGAGCCTTATTACGAAGACCATATAGTGTCAAAGTAAAGTGTCGTGAAAACGTATAACGGTCAATACCAGTACGGATGAATAGTGACACTGTAACGGGGTTACACGTATTCTGGTAACAGGGGGGGTCACACGAGATGGGCATGCTTTGACTGCACCCAATTAAGTATACGGTATGTGGCTGGGTAGCCAGTAGTCATGCATGTATTTAGATTTTACTATATATATTTAGGAAAATCTATACATTTAAAATTGGGCGGCTTTGCCGCAGATAAAA